TGTTTTGGGGCTAAGAGACACAGAGGAGGTGTTGCGGTGCCCGGTGTGGGTCCCAACATGGAGGTGAGGTGGGTCAGTAGGTGAGGTTGAGACATGTCGCCTCATGGTCTCATTTGACACCTTCCACGGTTGATGGTCACACGCTTCCAGGGATTGGGTTAGGTTGACTCACCGCCGGGACATTCGTGCTCCTTAGCCATCTTCCAGAGTTGTTTTTCCAGAAGAAGTTTGGAAAGATTTTTCAGGTCACTCGCCAACATCTGTGCAGGCTGCTGTGTTTGTGCAAAGATGTTGAGGTAGGAGATTTTGCCCCTCTATTCTGATGTCCTGTGACCTCCCCTCCAGCTCTGGAGCCCTCGGCACAGGAGAGACATGGACCTGCTGGAGCGGGGCCAGAGGAGGCCCCAGCAACGCTCCGAGGGCTGGAACAGCTCTGCTGGGAGGACAGGCCGGGAGAGCTGGGGGGGCTCAGCCTGGAGCAGAGAAGGCTCCGGGGAGACCTTACTGTAGCTGCCAGGGCTTGAAGGGGGCTACAGGAAAGATGAGGACAGACTTCCTAGCAGGGCCTGTAGCGATAGGACAAGGGGTAACTGTTTTAAACTAAAAGAGGGCAGATTCAGACTAGATCTAAGGAAGGAATTTTTCATGAGGAGGGTGGTGAAACCCTGGCCCCGGTTGCCCAGACAGGCAGTAGATGCCCCATCCCTGCAAACATCCCAGGTCAGGTTGGACGGGGCTCTGAGCACCCTGGTCTAGTGGAAGATGTCCCTGCTCATGGTGGTGGGTTGGACTAGGTGAACTTTAAAGGTCCCTTCCAAACCAAGCTATTCTATCGAAAAACACCCATGTTTTCTGGAATGTGATCTTGTCTGCTCTGTGAGTCAGAGGCTGAGACCCTGTTGGGATAAAGGGTGAGTATTACAGAAGATGAGTAGCAGAATAATCTGAAGAAGTTTTTGTGTGTCTTGTAAATATGTACTCTATCTTTTGTTCTGCAACAACCAGTTCATAGAAAAGCAGGGTACGACCGGGGAAGGAGGCATACCTGTACAAGAACTTGGTTTTCTTCCATATGCTTACCACTGTTTGCTACTTAGATGTCAAGAGTAAGTGATTGTTGTATTAGGATTGAAGGTGCTCTAGACAGACATGCTGTGCACTTCATGTGTCACAAACTCAAGGCCTTTTATTTGTCATCAGCTCTTGCAGGTGAGTCTGATGTTCTGCTTGTCCTGAAGACCTTTTAGGAATACTTTTCAGAGAAATGGGTGAAAGACCAGGACAGCGTGCATGGAAGATACCTGCTTGTATTCTTAGTACTTTCTAGCTGAGGATGTGAGAATATATGAAATGCCTGGACACCTGGCACTTAAGTAGCTGGTTCATGTGCTATACTCTGACAAAAATAGGTCATACTTGAAAGGTTCTTGCTTCACATGTGTGTTTTGCTGAGTCTCTGCTCACAGGTTAATACCCTTTTTTTAGTGGTCGAGGGTAGTGACAGTAAGTCTCCGTCAACGTGTAGTTAACCTCTAAAGTATTGCTTTGGTTGTGGGGTCTCTCTGTTTTCTTATTTCCTCCTGGCCCCCAACTACTTTTAACTGACTTAAGAGCACTTTGATAGGAGACAGGGTCCGAAAAGGCACAAGATTGTCTTGGCTATAGCAGCAAATTCTAGATACACAGTTGTCTTTTCTCTTTCCCTCC